CTTACATAGCCGGGGGACATGCATGCTGCTCAGCAAGGCAGGCAGAAATTCGATGCCTTGCATAAGGTGTAGCCTGCCAAATCTCCCCTTTACTACTGAATTTGTTGGGCTCAGCTACTGCAAATAAACAAATAAGCCCCAAATAACTGTGGCTTAAACAAGATAGACATTTCTTTTTCACTTAAGGTCTTACCCACAAGTAGTCTAGGACTAAAGTGGAGTCTTCATTAACTGACCCCAGGCTCCTTCCAGCTGGTTCTCTGTCACCCGACCTAAGGCGGCTGCTTCCATTGTTGTTGTCACATCTGCATTCCAGCCAGTGGGAAAAGAAGACAGGGATGTGAAGGACATACCTTTGTGGCAGATCTGCCAGGAGCACACTTCTGGCTAGAGCTTAGTCACCCACCACACCTAGCTGCAAGTAGAACTGTAAAAACTGTTTGGAGCTAGCAGGCTTCATATCCAGCTTAGCCTTGTTCCATTTGAAAAGAAACAGGTAGCAATTGCCCACGGGAACAACAAACCTAAGGTCTGACTTCATCAGTGGTCTCTCAAATCTGGGCCCCTGAGGTTGGAAAAAAAGGCCCAGAAATGAAAATCCAGGAATACACCCCCCACCCCCCCACACCTCCCCACCCCATCTCTCGCTGCCCTTCCAGTTGGTAACAGAACGCAGTCTTTGGAGGCAGCAGGAATCAGGAATGCTGCCCCTTCCCCTTCATGCCTCTATCAGTGGTTTAGCTGCATCTCCTGAATACACTGAACTTAACTCTGAAACTTGTCAATGTGTCCATATTTGGAAACAGGGCCTTGCTGATGCTGTCAAGTTAAAATGAGGCCACACTGAGTCTGGCTGGGCCCTAACCCAACGAATGAAGTTCTTTGAAGAAAAGAGAGAAGGCAGAGAAGACCACACGAAGCAGAGGTGGAAGCTGGAGCCCTGTATCTGCAGGCAGACGGCTCCAGCACCAGCAGCTCTGGGGGACAGCACGGTCCTGCCACACTCTGCTTTTGGATTTGTAGTCTTCAGAGCTGGGAGAGGATGAATGTTTGAATAATCTGCTGCAACATGCATAGTGCAGGAATACACCACCTCCCCCATCCTGGTTGCTTGGGACCCAGGTTCACAAACCCCTACTATAGAACTTAAGGTCCTGACAGCTACTCCACAGCATCCACACACCCTTGCCCTTCTCCACTAAATGCTGCATCAGCCGTGACCCAGTCATCCCAGCCCAGACCCAACAACAGGATGATGGTCCTGCTCAGCTCCTGCAGTCTGGTTTTGAAGACCGCTGGAGGATGAGGACAGGCTGTGGTTTGGCAGCTGACCAGCCTCCTCCACTGGTGGGATGGGGGTCTGAATTGGGGTCAGGCTGAGCTGGGTCTCCTGGTTTTGGTCCTGCTTATTTGACCCCCCTGGTCTTGGGTCACATCAGGTACACCTGCCTGGTCTTTCATCTGAGACTTTTCACCTCAGATAGATTCCCTTGGCTTCATAGTGCTGCCCCTAGATGTCCCCTCCGGCTGTCCCATGCCAGACTCCGGTTTGCCTGTGCCTTGTACTTAGGTCTTTCCTGAGTGTCTATTGCAGCTCTGATAGCCAGGGGTCTTTGAAAAAAATGCACTTTACAATCTGAGACAGCAGCCTCGGCCACTGCATGCCTGTTGCGCCTCACAAGGCCACAGGGGAGCGAACCATGTCACTATGGCGCTGGGTGGGGTCCACTCCGCTGGGGAGAATCTCTCAGCCCAGGACTTCTTCATTCAACCTTAGAAGGGCCTCCCAGGCACCTCCTGAAGGTAGAGGAGAGGAGAAAGCTCTACTCTGTAGAGAGCAACTATTTCTGCTCTGTGAGAATCGAGAGAAACAAGTGTGATGTGAAATTACCACCCACTGATTGCCCCAGAGGGGAGAGGCTTGCCCAACACTGGCCTCTAAAAGAACCTGCCCCGTGTCCTGGGCGGCTGCTGCCAGCCTCCTCCTGGCCCTAACTCTGCCCACTCCTTTGCAATGCACCCAGTCGGTGACTTTGCAAGACCCACTCATCCTTTCTCCAACTCAATCCTCCTTTCCTGTCTGCTATGTCCTTGGTCATAAGTCTTCACAGCTCTGGATTCAGAGTGCAGTTGTTTGTTTTCCATGATTCAATGCTCGGGCCTCATGCTAGTGCAGGCAGCCTGGTCCCCATCCAAGGATGTAAATCTCCCTCAGTTTGACACCTGGCCACAAATTGCTGGAGAAAGAACCAGAGAAGCTGCCTTTCCAGCTGTCAGATGGGTCGGTGACAATCTGCAGGTGGTGCACACAGCCTCGTGGAAGTCTAAACACCATGGAGAAGCCTACAGCTGGCACTGGCCTGTTTCAAGCCAGACTCAAGCTGTGTGAGTTACCGGATGCTATTCAAGGAGAGTTCTATAAACCAGAGGCCTCTCCTCCAAATTCATCCTTCTCCCCTGCCCAGGATAGGCTAGACAACTTTCCTCAGTGATCTTGGGAAAATATCCAGAGACAGGGAGAAGAGGCCTTCTTATTTATTCCTGGACTCAAGCAAGACTTCCTTCTCCCCTAAGAGACATAGTTCAAAAGTTGCCAAGAAACCTTCCACATCTCAGAGCTCTCACACTGGTCTGGAGTGGAAAGGAGAAAGTCATCTTTGGTATGCAAACATCCTGAGAAATAAAACCTGGGCTCAGAGGGAAAAGGAGCAGTGCAGACCCGCTCCAACGCACAGGGAACACCCATATGTGGAAATGCGCCGGGCTGCTGAGGTCCAACCAAGGTTTTATTGCTCTCAGGCCCCTGAACCCAACCTGTGCATTTCTCCCAAGCACACTAAATAAACATTTGCTGAGTTATTGGGTATGCTGTGGGATCATGTGAAACCATGTCTTGTTCATGGAATTTAAATAAGAACCTATACATGTTCCAGGGATTTCCAGAGAACTCTTCTTTCCATAGGAAATGTGCCCCATAATGGATGTAAACATTGAAAGAACAGAAAAATTTTGACAGGCTCAATTATGAGCTCTGTTTCAAGAGGAAAACACAGATTTCTACAGCCTAGGAAGAGAGTAGGAAGGTAAGGGGGGAAGAGGAAGAGGAAGAGGAAGAAGAAAGAAGAAGAAAGAAGAAGAAAGAAG